TTATTTTATACGATTTAAATAAGCACGTTAATTTACGGATCTTTAAATTACGTATAGTTCAAGAGATTAAAAATAAAAAAACTAACGCACCATATAAGAAATCTCGTTACGTAATCTAAGGATATAACGACGTTAAAAAAGTAGAATTACTTATATAATTACCAACGGTTTAAAAAAATAGCTAACGGTTAATATTAATTTTAATCCTTTCCCTTATTAAAAACGGATATTACGTATAGAATATAGATATTACGTAAGCGTATACGTAATCCGTTACTAGTTTAACATAAAAGATCCTTACTTACCTTTTAAAAAAGATAATTAATAAATATTTAAAAAATATAATTATCGAAGTGCTTAAACTATTATATAGGCTAATAGAATCGAGAACTTATTAATAGGCGACCTATTACGATTTCTATATTAAATAGCTAAATATAATTATATTAATTTACGATTTATATTTATTAATTTTTAATTATTTAAAAAGACTTTATAAAATCGTTAATATATAAATTAACGATACGTTAAGTATATTTAACATCGAATTTATATAAAAAGAAAATAAAAAATTTAAAAAGGCCGGATTTATTATTAAACTAAAAGAGATCTTTACTATTAACTATTTATTAATATTTAATAGCGGGATCTTTATAATTAAGGGTAATACTATTGCTTTTTATTAAAAAAGGTAAAAAAAAAAAATTACTTTTGTTAATTTTATATTATATAATCGGTAAAAGAGATATTAAGTAAAATAAATAAAAAGATCGTATATTATTAATATCTATTAATTAAAAATAACGTTTAATATCATAAAAATAATATAAGCTATAAATTTAATTAAAAAAGACGTTACCGTATTAAATAAATAGTTAAGTTAATAAATAATAAACCTAAATTATAAGCTAACTTATTATTTATTAAATTTAGCCTTTACTAAGCTTTACGTTTTTATTAACAAATCGTTTATAAATAATATAAATTTAACTTTTTAATTTAAATATATTATTATTTTAGTAAATAAGGTTATAAAAGATGATTAATTTATAATTTATAATAATATTATTTACTATTTATCGGTTAAAAATAAAAGAGTAATTAAAAGCGTTTTAATTTTAAAAGTTTATAAAATAATTAACGATATCGATTTCGCTTACGCGATCTTTATTATGTTTAAACGGATTATAAATTAATTAACCTTACTTATAATATTAACGATCGTTTATATAAATTCTTATTTATTATATAAATACTTTATTAAATTAAGTATTATTAAAAAAAAGAGGTTAATAATAAATATTATAGCTTTATAATAATTATATAAGCGACGTAAAATTTTTAAAATCCGTTAAATTATTACGGCTAACTAATCGTAATAAGGTTTATATTAATAGAAATCGAGGCTATAATATTTATAAATAGTAGTCGTCGTAGGAATAGCTTTAATAAAGCTATTATTTATAAATTATAAAATAAATAAGGCTTCGATAATTAATCGTAGTTTTATTAAGTAAATTCTTAATAAAGGTAATTAAAAGCGATTATTAAATTTAATATAAAAATTAATTATTAAAAAAGCTATAGAAATCTATCCTCGAGCTTAGCTTAAGCTATCTTATATATAAATCCTAATTATAAATATATTTTTTATAATATCTTATTTATTATTATTTAATTATTTATTAAACGATTATCCGTTTTATATTTTTATAATCGTCCGTTTTATTTATTTATAAGCGTTCGTTTTTTATTTTATTATATAATTATAATTATATAACTTATTTATAGTTTTTTTGTTTTAAAAAGAGCCGTTTAGGTTTTTATTATTATATATATAATATAATAGCCGCCGTAGGTCCTATAAGGTAAGGCCTTAGTTTAATAATACGTATTAAGTCGTAATATTAGCTCCTCCCCTCGAAGGTCTAGTCCCTAGGCTTATAAATAAATTATTCGTTCCTAAGTTAAAGAATTATTAAATATTTTTATTAAAATATATTAATATTATATTAAATTAAATTAAAAAATCGAAATCGTAAATAATTATATTTTATCACTATTTATTACGTATTATTCATTTTTTTAATAAAAATATAAAAATAATACCGTATTTAAATTATCGTTTTTAAAGTATTTATTATTTAGTTTTTTTTAATTTTAATATTTATAAAATATACTATTATTTAAGTATTTCGTACGATACTTTTATTAATATTATTTATATTTATAAGTTCTTTATAAATAGTTTTTTATAAGTCCTAATTAATAAATATAATAAATTATTTAATAATAAAATCCGATCGTTTTAATTATAAAAAGTAAATAAAAAAGTCGCGGTTTTAAAAAAAAACTATAAAACTATAAAAAAAAGTTAAGGCTTATTAAAAGGTTTAAATTAAATTAAATAAATCATTATTTAAATTAAAACGCCTTCGTTTTTAAAAACAAATAATATTTAAAAAAAATCGTATTATATTAAAAAAATTTCTTAAGGATACCGGGAGTATTTCTTTAATAGCTTAGGAGGCGTAAGTTAATAATATTTTTAATATTATCGATTAGGACGCCGTAATAATTAAAAATTCTAAATTTAAATTTAATTTTAATATTTTTTAAAAAGCTATTAAGAGTTTTAAAAGTTTATAACGGGTTCTTATATATTATCTTCGTATTTATAATTTTTTTATTTAATAAAATACTTTTTACGTTTTTTTTTAGTTTAATAATCGATAACTTATTCGATTTTGTATTTTAATTTATTAAATTCGACGATAATACGATTTTTAGTATATAAGCTTTTAAATATTAATTTTAAAAGTAAAATATAAAAAACCGAGTAATATCGTATCGTATTTAAGAGTTTTAATTTAAAATTAATTAATAAAACTTTTTTAATAATTTTAAAAGGTTTAAGTTTTTTATAATTTAATTTATCGCTTAGTCGTTTTATTTTAATATTATAATAAAAGAGATATATATTATTATTTTTTTTAAAATTAGTTTATTAATTTTTAATTTATTAACGTATTTTTTTATATACTATTATATAAACTTAAAGTTTAAAAAGGCTTTTTTTTAAATTTTTTTAAATTTATTTACGTTTACCACGGCTTTTATAACTTATAATCTTTTATATACTTTTTTATATATAATTAAACAAAATCCGTAGTTAAGATAAAAAAAAGATTCTTTTATACTTTTACTAACTACGTTATTATATATAAACTAGGTTATTAATAATAATATTACTTAATTATTTTAATCGTAATTTATATAATAGCGGAGGTATATTTTAAAAATCTAATTAAATTTTTTTCGTTTATTTATTAATTTATAAATAAAAAAAGGTCGATAATTTATAATTTATACCGAGCTATAAAATTAAAAAATTTTAAAACTTAGCAGTAAATAATTTATTTTTATTAAATACTATTTTTTTAAGTAAACCGTAATTAATAATAATTATTTTAAAGAAAGTATATATTAATTCTTTAATATTATTTATTTTTTTATATAATATAAAATAGGTAAATTTAATAAGTCGGTCGACGATAACTAAAATACTATCGTATTATATATTTATTAATAGCTTTTTAGATTTTAATAATTTAATAATAAAGTCTTAAGAGATTAAGTATTATGCCTCTAAGGGCACTAATAATAGTTATAATTCTTTATAAAGCTTATAAAAGTTATTTTTATTTTTCTTATAGATATTATAATTTTTAATAGCCTTAACGATTTTTATTTTTATAACGGTTTTATTATAATATTAATAAATCCGTTTTTATATTTTTATAATACTTTAATAACCGTATATTTAAATATTATAAACTTCTATAATAAATTTAAAAATTATTTTTTTAAACGGGCTAATATTAACTTTTTTAATTATTATAAAGAGTTTTATAATAAATATAAATTTACCGTTATCGTCGTATTTAAAAATTATTTATATTTCCTTAAGGACCGTGATTTTATAATTAAGTCGTTTATTAAGAGTATTTATTTTACTATTTTTTAAACCTTTTTAATAAATAATTTGAAAATTAAATTTAAATAAGAATTCGCTTTATTTAATTTATCGTTTATTTAAATTTTTATTTATTATAAAATTTATAAAGTTTTTATAATTTATATAAATAATAATTTTATATTTAATATTTAAAAATTATAGTCTTTATTTTTTAAAAACTTCGATTATAACTATTAATTTTTTATTATAAATTTATTAATTTAATTCTATTTTATAAAATATTTTAAAATAAAATATATAAAAGTAAAATACTTTTTATTAATCTTATTATTTTAAAAAAGTTTTTATAATAAAATCTAAAATATCGATCTCGATTTTAAATAGTTTCTTTAAGTCTAAAATTATAATTATTAATTCTAAAATAACTAAATCCTTAACTTTATTAAAAGCTTTTTCATATTTTTTATTTTAAATAAAAATTATATCTTTTTTTATTAAATTATTAAAAAGTCTAATAATATTAACATAATTTTTAAAAAATCGTTAATAAAAATTAACGAATTTTAAAAATAATTATACTCTTAAAAGCGAGAAGTCGCTGCTAGGGCCGCCCAATCCGGTGGGAAGTGCCGCCGTTTTACGCGGCACAAGCAGCGAGAGGGAACTGAGCGATGGGCGGACACTGCCAGGTATTAAATACTTCGTCCTGCTGCCTCCAACGCCTGCAACCTGGTCATGGCAGTGCGCCCCACCCTGCTATTTTGGTCCAAGCGCCTGCCATGTCCTTCTACCCTGCCCGTTGGTCATGCCAGCACCGGTTTGCTGTTGCCAACTCCCTCGCCTTCTGGCATCCGTTGGAGCGGTTTCTGGCTGCTCAGGTTGCTGAGGTTCTGCTTGACGAAATGGCGCCGCCCGACATAAAGAGCGGCATCGTGCCTGCCGTCTTCTGTCGTCTTCTTTCGCCTCAGCACACGCTCACGACCCCTCTTCTGCCGCTGCGACGAGCGACAATCTCCCAGCCATGGCCCAGCGGATGCTCCCCGATTGTCGCCCTCGACAAACAAAAGCAACCGTAGACTTTTTGAAGCGGTTTACCGACCAAGAAGCACAACGTCGGATCGCGAACCAGCCGAAGCCGTTCTCGGCTGAGGAGCATGCCGACCTGCGCAAGCAGCTTAAGAGCGTCAACTTCATCAAGCCGAGATATGCAGACGAAACCGAGATCAATATCGCGGTCGTATGCAGGAAATGGAAACGGTTCGCTGCGAGAGCCCCAGGCTTGTTTTCTTGTTGACTGAACTCTATCACAACAGTTACTGTCAAGAGCAGAAGCTCGGTGAGTGGCAAGCGGCCTTGGAAAACGTAACTCGCGAGACAATGATGAGCTTCTTTCTCCGGATCAGCGAGTGGTCGATAGGGAAAATCAAATCATGGGGTACGACGCAGGTATATATCCGGCAGTTTCAGCAGCTATACACCACCGTCGCCGGTCGCTACATGGACAGGAATGATGCGAAAGAGCTCTACAAGGTATCTACCAATTGCGGCAGTCGACAGTTCCACAATGATGCTGACATGGGCTGGGCTAGTTCCACCACACGATCCTGATTCCCCGCTTCGGATACCGGGCACCTAACATCAACGGGAAGCCAGTCCTCGGAGCCGATAACCTGCTGGCCAT